TCAGAGAGAAAAACTATCATGATATTATTAGTTTTCTTGCTGAAAGTTTTGAAGAACATCATTGCATCAGAAAAACTCCTCATGCACAAAGAATTAGAAAATTGCACATCCTATTGATCTTTGAGATCTTTTTATTGCATTTGTTTAAGTACAAAAATGATACAAAATGGTTATCAGAAATAGCAGGGCTAAAAATCACAAGATAGTTTGACATGTTTAAGAAACACTTAACAAAAATCCTTTATGTTCCAATTTCAGTCTTCGGGGCAGGATACAAAGATATAACGATAGTAATATGATGATAAATATCTGAAGTTTTCATCATGGCTACAATTTATTTAGGAGAGTACCACAGAAATACTGGAAAAAGACACTAGTGGACTGTGTTGCGGCCACTCTTAATGAACTGGTTCTGCATTAATACTGCAGACAAAGCTCTGCTGAATGCAACCTGTGATTTCAACAAAACGTGGAGCTGTTGCTAGTGGTGTCGTGGAGGGTACACCCACCTCTTTTTCTGGCTGTTCACAGTATACCCACCTATCAGCCAAAAACCCAATGGAATATAAAGGAGAGTATACCCACTTCCTCTTTGGTACTCATCTACCTAGTAGTACACCCACCACAACAGCTATCATTAAACCACTGGCTATCAACACCCGTGATGTGTGTGTCAGCAGCGCTCACAGATTGCCTTTGTGAAACGGACCCCAGTAAGATAAAAATGGAAACGACTGGACTTGCTACCAGATAATGCCTCAAAACACCAGAAACATACAACACAACTTGATTATGAGCTTAATTTACACAAAGAACAAACATGCAGTAAATGTTTCTTCTGCATATTCAACCTCTGAAACATCTCCAGGAAGGAACACTTTACAGTAAATAATAACTGAGCTGTCAGTGGTGCAAAACAGCTTCACCACACTGACCTCCAGCATCAGATTCTGTCGGACGAGCAATGGTTTTACTTCAGAGTAAACTACGACACACAAAGCCTTAAAAAACTTCTATTTGGACTATTCTTTAAACCTTCACACACCAAATAATAAATTAAAGATCCCACAGAGCAGCTGTTATCTTCAGGTTTAAACAGCAAACATGATGATGGTATCAAATAATATATCTTTGCTTAAATGAAGGGGATAATTCAGATTTTTTGAAGATACTTATCCACAGACAGTGTAACACATACAGTAAATGGCGGTTAGCATGGCCACAGTTTGGAGAAGCAGGTTGAAGTGTCGATACAGAAGCTAAGCAATGCACTGCTGTGGACGGGGGAAGCAACAAAACATATTTTAGCCACCTAAAAAAATCAGCGTCAGTTTAAGTGCACCTTATGTGAAGAGTATTTTCACCCCTTTGCCTTCCTGTCAGACAGCCTGTTCTGATGAGGAGACATTAACAGATGCAGCTCTCCTCAAAGCCACCAGACTCCATTGGCAAAAACAGTCATTTGGGCTTGCTGAACTCAGGAGCTGCTGGTCTACCACTGTATCAGTCAGTTAGTTAGTCAGGCTGTTCTCAGGCACTGTTTGTACATTTTCCTACAGAAAGTAAGGCACCTAATTTCGAACATAAATTATTGTCCAGTTATTTGTGAATTACCCATGTATTTTGGATGGCTGAGATCACTAGACCAGTGCACTGACAGGCGTAAAGACAGAAGAGGTTGGGGAGGTCAGTGGGTCACAAAAAACAGGACTCTGAGTGGTTGGATAGTGTGAACTTTGAGTCATTTTAAGGGCCGTCCTCACCATGTTTCAATTACATCACTTTATTTCAATTACATCACTTTACTTTACTTTCATAGGGTGCTAATTTGCAGGATATCATACGAACTGTTGTATAAGGGTTTGTTGAGTTAGTTTGTGTTTTTGTGTTTGGTGAATCTGAACTGACCCTTTAAAAGTCCAAAGTCACACAATAACACAAAGTAAATAACTGATCGAGGCAGCGGTAGACCAGCAGCTCCTGTGTTCAGCGATGTTAAATCAATGTTTTTCTCAATGGAGTCTGGCTTTAAAAAGAGGGACATATTGGCTTCAGTTTCTCGTCTGAAGTTGATGTCTAACAGTAAGATAAAGAAGTGAAAATAATCAGAATATAGCTGTCACTGATATCACTTTTTTTAGGTGACTAAAATGGATTTTGTTGCTGACTCTGTCCACAGTAGCACATTGCTAAGCCTCCGTGTCGGACTCCAGCCTGCCTTTTCAAACTGGGGGCATGCTGAGTGACATGTGCTGTATGTAATACTGTGAATAACTATGCCACATACAACTCCTCCTCAACAGATCCAAATTATCCCTTTAAAACATCTCTATTCCTTGACTGGGTTACATAAAACATATTGTTTCTACATCCTTATCGTCCACCTAACATTGTCATTTGTGTTTCTGCATTGCATAATGTAGAAATGTCCTTTTCTTTAAATATTAAGGCAACTTCTGTGTTTAAGTTAGCTCATATTTTCAGTGAGCTGAGGAGAGAAAGACGCTGGGAACAAAGCAGATAACAGCTGAGATACACTGCTTTTTAAGATTATAGCTAACGACCAAACTGATTGTCAGACAAACAGTAGTGAGCTTGTTGCTGAAGCAGATACGTGATTTTACTAAGCATGATGTGATGAAGAATCTGACACACTGATTTTGAAATAAGGCATGTTTTATGCTGCATAATTAAAAGCTCATGGGAACTGTGGAAGCAGTGTTTTTAGAGCCTATTCACACTTTGTATTTAAATGTGTTCTGTGTGATCTGATGGATGTGAACACACCAAAAACTGCACCGACAAAAATGAAGTAGCTATAAACAGAAAATGTGGACAAACATGAACCCAGGAATGGATTTAAGGATCATCCACTCAGCTTTGTAGTGTGTGCACAGCACGATAAACCTCCATCTATGTGGTGCGAAAAACTCAGTATTCGAGATGAGTTACTGCACAGCTGGTGTTGTCCACTACTCTTGCTGTTCGATTAGGTGAAAATGTGCATTCTTCTTTTTTTGTTAGTTTGCTAAAAATCAAACATCAGCGTGGATGCTGAATGTGGTCTGAAGTGGTCACTGCAGGTGCATTTAAGACACATTCTGGTGCATGTATTCTAACTACAATCCCTCTAAACTGGATCTAGACATGATGCAGGTACATCCACCAACAATACTGAGCTTGAACAGGGCCTTAACTCAGATGTAAACCCACGACTTTACCACTGAGACACATTTTGGACATTTCATGCTCCCATAAAGCTGCACAATAGAAGATTTGGTACCACTTCATGATAAGGCATTCTTATGAAATTGTTTAGTAGTTGTAGCTGATGACTTTAAATAAACAGATCACTAATAAGCCATTAATGAGAACAAGTTTTGGGTTGCCAGGTTGTGAAAAATCCCACAGGCCAAAGACTCTTAATTATTGCTTGTAGGTGTGAGTCTGTGAAACTGTTGCGGTGTTCTGTGCCTTCCAACCAGTGCATGCTGGGATAGGCTCCCTCAGCGACCCTGCACATGATAATTAGATTTTGATGATCGATGGGTGATAAACATCTTTTCACTAGTGCTTTAATTTATCTATCATACAGGAAGATTAATCCATCGCACAGCCTGACCAGTGTCTGTTAATTTCTTTTTGGCCCGGCACTACTTTTTCTCTCTGGACACCAAACTTTACTATTGTATGAAAATAAGCCTGCGTAAAAATTCCTGTAACAAATTGTCTCAATATTATTAGTGGTAGTTCACTTATAAATAGATGATCAAATGCCATAGCTGATGGATTACAGAAATGCAAAAATTCCTTTATCAAAATAATAATCTCCAAGATTATTATTTAAATAAATGGTGATTGTGTCGTGGGCGACATTCCCAGAAAAAATCACAAGTGGTGTGGCCATTTATAATCCACTCTTACACATAATGAATCATGCACACATGCACACACACTCCCTTTCATTTCTCCAGCTGCAGAAGGTTCATGAGAGCCAATCCGCATTGCCTAACCTGCAATAATATCTGTTGTCAACCACCTAAACCAGACCCCCAGACCGCTAAATATATGCATTATAGTAGCAGGATTGTCAGGACTGAGGACTGAGACAAGCCTGAGTGCTGTGTGTGTGTGTGTGTGTGTGTGTGTGTGTGTGTTTATGATTGACAGCAAGCGGGGAGAAGAAGGTGGGCTATTGCAGTGGTTCCCTACTGGTCCAACCACAGGGTCCAGGGTCCCCTTAGTCATTAGTTCAAGGTCCCACAGTTTAATATGTTCAACGGCATACTTGCGTTTGCCCGTTGTCAAGCTAGTCTGCTGTCTCTGTTAAGTAGCAACTCACTCGACAGCAGGAAACGGCACTTCAAAATAAAAGCTCTGTGCCGCAAACTGACTGTGCTTCAAAATGAAGTGTGTTTTTTACAGACTTGACACGTTTGCAAGTCACTTATGGTCTATTCAGAATGGACCTGCGACCCACATCTGGACCGCTACCAACCAGTAGGGAACCACTGGGCTTCTGAACTCGTAAAGCCCCACCAGCTGGTTGTGGGTCGACCCTCAGATCATCTTTAACCTGCCAAAAAGTGCAGCAAAAACTGCTTCTTGCCACAGGTGCAGCTAAAGGGAGCAAAACGGGGATCTTCGAGATTGTAACTGTAATGACTTAAAATGACCTTCATGACTGATTAGCCGTCAGGTCCGCTGTTGTCAGCAAAGGTTTGTATGTTTCTCAGTTCACAATAACCTCTCATGATACACTGAGAAGTCTGAGAAGACAATTAAAGTTATAATAATATCAATTTCACAACCTGGCAGTCAAACCATTGCTCCTATAGTAGCTATTTCTTATATGTCACACAAGAATAGCTTATTTTCTAACTAATAAAACAATTTAACCTTTAAAGTATGAAGTATGTCTCGATGCCCAGTGGTACTGAAGACTGTGATTTAAATGCCCCTGTGTTTTAGGTGTAAATCAAAAATAGGATTTGCTTTGCTAGGATTTGAGTTACTGTCTTTTATAAATTATTGAAGTTGCATGAAATTCTTTCAGCACACAGAACGTGATGAAATGAAACACACTGAAAGAAGAAAAAAATGTCCAGCAATATGGTGAATCCTGAATCCTGCCATGACTTCTCCTCCTCTGAGCCACAGAGAAGATGGACGTTTGTTGGGAGCAGTTTACGACACATTCCTTCATACATTCAGTCAACTCCCATTGTCATTGTCTGCCAAAGTGCTAACAGCTTTCAAGATAGGAAAATAAAATGCTTTAAAAAGATACTAGAAGTATAAAATTAAAATATTCTTATGCAAAATGGCTTTGCTGGTTGTATCCCCTGTACAAAGCCCTGCTGTGCATCTGGACTCCCAGGGTTAGGGAAGTCTGGGTCGTCTGTAAACATGATGACACTTTGTCCTCCTCAGGAAGCCAAAATGTTTCCCTTCTGTGGTTTATCCTATGTGGAAGTGAATAACCCTGTTACTGTTTCTAGTGTCAGAAAGGTTTCATCTGTTGCGTCTGCATGAGGCATGTTTTACATGAGCACTCATGATCTGAGGAAAGTGATCCATCAGAAGTGGTGAGACATTTTGTTGTAGTTTCCTCTGATATATCGATTACAAGATAAAATGCTTGGAGCAAAAGTACTTTTCAAACCTCGTCCCGGGCGACTACGCAGATGAGAGAAGAATCTGTGACATAAAGTTTTCTGGAAAGCCAGAACAAGTTCTTCAAGGTGTACATGAATGTACGAATGGGAGCTTTTAACCACCGGCGGCACACAGCTGTCCAGTTGGCATTAGTCCTTCTCCCTGACATTAACCAGCTGTCTGTCAGAGTGCAGGATCTCTTATAGTCCTGTACATCTGCAGCGATGTCACCTCCACATCTGGGACCTTGACGTTTTGAGGGCGTCCTGTCGGGCTGTATCCAGCCGATCGTCCCATGGGACTGAAGCCCATGGTAGGCCGACCAGTGTGGGCAAAACCTGAGGATCGGGACACAGCGGGACGCCGCAGGAACCGTCCCGACGTCACCAGGTCCCCGTAGCCCTGCGCATGCGAGAAGGCGTAGCCTGAGCGCCGGGAGCTGGTGCGGCGGATGCGGGCGCGTCGAGGCAGAGGGGCAGGCGTCGCCTTGGCCTGTCTCACCTTGAACATCACCTGAAAGTTTGGGCAGATAGTCACAGCGAGGAAATTCACAAGTGCAGCTGCATCTTAGTGTGTAAAGTAAAGTGTAAGTGTGGAGTTGTTCCATCTGTACCTTGTCATTGATGGTGGGGTAGAGCTGAATAAACAGGAAGCGGTAGGTGACCACAGGAAGGACACACAGGATGGAGGTGAGGAGGATCGTCAGCCAAATGTTGGGCTGGTTCAGAGAGTTTCGGGCTGTTCCTGGACACACACACACACACACACACACACACACACACACAGACGGTTTGTATTTGTACATTTGTGGGGCTCTTCTGTTGAATTTAAAGGGAAATTTCGATTTATTTCAACCTGTCTCCTATCGTCCTAAATTTGTTTCAAGTGACTAGTGACGTAAAAATAATAGTTAGCATGTTAGCCGTTAGCCTAGATACAGCCGGGGCACATGGTAGCATCAGACCTGTTAAAACGTAAGTGAACGGGCATACTTCAAGTGCAAAGTTAGTCCACTAAACAAGCTTTTTTTCCACAAAGACCGCCTCATATCGTTAGGATAAATGTAGGAAAACGACATGTAAACGTGTTGTCTTACCTTACTGGTGTGCTGCCATGTTTGTTTACCATTTAGCTCTGCTTTCCAAAGCGCGGCCAAAATATCGCGAGAACAAGCAGCGATCTCATAGCGTGCCTGAAATATCACGAGCTCCAGATAAAGCACAGCTGGATACTACTGCAGGTGGAGGTGTCTCGTCCTCGGTCACATCCAGACCTTGAAAATAAGGCTGCAACTGGTCCCATTCCTTGTAACAGAGGCATTCCTCTTCTGTGGGCACTGGGGCACAGCATTCACAGGTACACCACCAATCTCCAGAGCTACGCAGCCTTGCAGCAGCCATTCCTCCTCTCTCGTCCTCTACCTGTTGCGCCTCTCTCTCTCTCCTCCTCCGTTCTTCAATTTCACGAAGCTCTTCGTCAGTGTATTCTGGCTCAAATAAATAAGGGCGGCCATCAAACTCTGCAAAATCAAATTCCTCCTCCACAAAGTCGAAGTCTGGCAAAAAGTCAGCCATTATTCTTTAAATCTTTCATAAAATAAATGAATGAACTTTTCAGGCTACTGTCTAGTTCTTCCAGCTGTTGCTGCTTGTTCTCGTGAGATTTCAGGCACGGTATGAGATCGCTGCTTGTTCTCGGGATATTTCGGCTGCACTTTGGAAAGCAGAGCTAAATGGTAAACAAACATGGCAGCACACCGGTAAGGTAAGACAACACGTTTACATGTCGTTTTCTATATGTTCTCTGACATTTATCCTAACGATATGAGGCGGTCTTTGCGGAAAAAAAAAGCTTGTTTAGTGGACTAACTTTGCACTTGAAGGTTGCCCGTTCACTTACGTTTTAACAGGTCTGACGCTACTATGCGCCCCGGCTGTATCTAGGCTAACGGCTAACATGCTAACTATTATTTTTATGTCACTAGTCACTTGAAACAAATTTAGGACGATAGGAGACAGGTTGAAATAAACCGAAATTTCCCTTTAAGACTGTCATCACTGAATATGAAACATCAAAGGGGTAAACAAGACTAAGAGTCACGTCAAGCATTGATGCAAGCGTTCTATACATTTTGGTTGGCACTAAAAAAGGCCACCTGATCACATGACCTTGTCGACAAACTACAGATGACAGTATGTTCAAGGATAATCAACGTTTATGTGGCCTACTGCACACACAGCAATGATCCCGGCCAGTTTTGGTATTTGGTTTGGTTGTAAACTGAAGTTTTGCCTGTGCAAACACACCAAACTGAATTCAGACACTCAGTATTTGGAAGTATTTCAACTCATCTGACTACTGCCACCTTTACTCTGGAACAGCCTTGTTTAAATAGAAGGAGTAAAGCTTTTCTTTGGAGCAGACATGCACAGCCATGAGCCCAGTGCTACATCTGTTTGGCAGCTGAAGATTTCACCACTCACCTATGAAAGGGAAGGCTGACGGCAACATGAGAAACATGCCGTTACTGTACATGGTGAACGTGACAGCAAAGTACATGGCAAGACTGCCCAGCACGAAGAAGGTGTTGACTGCTGTCCAGTAAGACATCTCCAGCCCCAACTATAGACACAGACAGTAAGCAAAAAATGTGCGTCACTCATTTTATTCTGATTCTGATGAATGAGAAAGAGGAGCTTATCCAAAAGAAAAGGTTCCTCGCACCTGGATGGTGACGGCAAACAGCAGACACGTCTGGGTGAGGAGGGCGAAGGACTGGTAGTCAGCGACGTCCTTCCCGTCGTCCCTCACGGTGTCCTGCATGGCTGCGTAGGGGATGAAGAAGAGCACCAGGGAGCTGTAGCAGCTGTGGAGGGCACACTTGAAGAAGGCCTTCTTGCTGAAGTACAGGTTGAGTTGACCGGGGACGTAAAGCTGAGGATGCTGGAAACTCCAAATGTCGTTCACATCCTGAGAGACAAAGATATGTAGTCTGTGTGTTTCCTGTGTTCCTTGTCAGATCTATCACACGTACACACATCAGATACTTACCTGATCAAACAGACTCATCCCCAGTACAGGTAGTGCTGTGTACACCAGGTTGTAGAGTGTTATGAACCACTCATCATACACCGTCTGAAAAACAAAGTCAGAAATATTTGAATAATTTCATACAACTCCAGGACAAATGGGTGCCTGACTTAATTAATATAATTATTTGAATGAAAATCATTAACTTTTAATTTAAATAATAATCATTTGCACATTTCCTTCCTCCCTACTAGTCCTGTATTTACTGTATCCTCCCGTCACTCTCTCACCTGCGCAGAGAAGCCGCAGAAGAAGGCGTACCAGAAGTGGACAAAGGTGAAAGTGAAGTTCTTGTAGAAGAAGTAGCGCAGGAACTTGCACATGCGCAGGTAGGACCAGCGGCCGTGCACCAGCAGGAGGCGCTGCAGGAAGCGGAACTGGGCGAAGGAGTAGTCGCTGGACAGAACGGCCTGCATGCCCTCCTGGCCTGAGATGCCCACGCCAATATGAGCCGCTGGGCGCACAAAGAGAGGAAGAAGATAAAGGATGATTGAATTTCTTTGTATCCAAAAACAATGATGGACATTTCAGTCACTTTTTCAGGTTAACCTAACGGTCCAGAGTGTAGAATTTAGGGGGATATATTGGTAGGAATAGAATACAATATAATAAGTATGTTTTCTTTCATGTATTTTTACATATAGTTGATTATTTTTAAACTCTCGATACTCCCAACACCCAACCAGGAGTGCTCAGCGCAGACTTCTCGCCCAGCACCTTGTCGTGCATCAGAAAAAAACCTTTGGTGGACACAGCCCCTTAAAGCTGCTCTGTTGCCCTGCAGATACCTTTGATCATGCTCACATCGTTGGCTCCGTCCCCTATGGCCAGCGTGACCGCCTGCTTGTACTTCTTGACCAGCTCGACCACCTGAGCCTTCTGCAGAGGAGTGACCCGGCAGCAGATCACAGCTTTACACATACATGCCGTCCTCAGGAACTCCAGCTCCATGCTACGCTCCAGGGCGTACGCCTGGGGGAACACAGGGGGAAATAGGGAAGTCATGAAAGGCGGGAATTATACAGCATCTGAAAATATTAACTGTACAGTGTCGGCAGCTGCAGATGCCCATGGAGGTAATAAACAAGGAAGTATGACTAACAATTCACAACAAAAACAAATCAAACACCAAATGCTGGTGTTGCATTTTCTTTCAGATTATAGTTCTCACAAATTTCAGATCAATTATGTCATAAAAAAGAAAATATACCCTCCACTGCAGCTAAAAAAATGTCTTTAAATATCTATTCAGTGTCTGATGGACTTCAAGAGTAAATGATATTTCACACATTATAAAGGAATGTTCCATATTATGTATTTCTTAATGAAATTTAAGGTTTTGATGCAACACAGTTTCCCCACTAAATTTCAATAATAAGCATCACAAGTCACAGAGGACAGTTACGGCTTCTAATTAGGAAGCTTTTCCTGACGTACCAGGCTGTGTCCGTTGACGACCAGGCCGTACTCTCCGTTCACCAACTCCTCTGTGATCACTTTCCCACCTTTACCCACAGCTCTTTCTGGCAGAAACACTGAATCCTCTGCTGGTGTCATGGAAATCTGTGCATCTCTGCTCCACAAAATAAATAAATAAATAAATAAAAGAAACATCTAATAATAATGTCAGTTCCTCATGTTCAGCCTAAACTGAAATTGAATTTGAATATTTCCTCTGACCTCAGTTCCTGTCTGACATCCTCAGGTGAGTTCCCCGAGACGATGAAGACCTCGTTCATCTCCTCCCGCAGCAAGTTGCACGAGTACCCGATGTTTTCTGCAGTTTCTGCAACACAAATAATCAACACTGTTAAGAAGACAGTAACAGCAGATAACATGAAGTGCACAACAAAAAAATATGCTAATCATACGTAAAATTATGTACCTTGCTTGTCACCAGTCAAAACCCAGATTTTGATGTCAGCTTTGGCCAGCTGCTCGATAGTCTGAGGTACTCCATCTTGTAACTTATCTTCTATGGCTGTTGCTCCGAGCAGCTGGACACACACACACACACATTCAGACACATGATTAATATTCAATTCAAGTTAATAAAATCCAGTTGTTACAGTATGAGCTTTACTGAAACGTGCATTCTGTTTCCTACCAGCAGATCCTTCTCTATCTCCTCATACAGCTCGTCCAGTTTGCCCTCTCGGTCGTCCAGTGCTACACTGGCCTCATGGTGGCGCTGTTTCCACTGGTTGAAATACTCCTCATCCAGATCCTTATAGGCCAGCGCCAGAGTGCGTAGCCCCTCCCCTGCAAACTCCTGCAAATAGGCATGCACATACGTAAATAAATGAACACTGCACAAATGTGAAAAACACTGAACACACACACACACACACACACACACACACACACACAAGCTGATGATACTGGAAGTTAAAACAGTCAAACTCAGCTGAGTAAATTTTGCAGTCTGTGGAAGTTACCTCTAAAAGGAGAGAAGACAAAAAGACAACCAGGAGATATTCAGGTGTTTTTTCTACAGCATGAACCAAACAAGAAAGAACAGAATTTAAGGGAGAGGAAATATAAGAATGAATATCATATGAGAATTCAGAAAAGAAGGGAGGTAGGATACAACACCAACATGGTAGTTTCTAAAGTGTATCTAAAGCCTACTCCTCTGTGCCGTAGAGCTTCAGTGTTGTCCAGAAATGACTGAAAACACATCAGTTAGCCACACTGATTCTCTGGGTGACATGTTGATGAACATAGTTATTGTACAGTAGATTATCTTTACTCAATCCCACATACACGGACCTACTAAAAACACCAAATGTGTACACATTCTTTTCTGAAATAGTCCCTTACAAATGCAAAATTTCCTCCAGTTTGAGTAACGTTTGCTTTTTACATATGTTTATTACCTGCTTTTAAAGATTTATGTCTTTGGTAGGAATCAGTGTGTTAAGGGCTTAGTCGCACAGATGGGGTAGGGAAGTCAAGAAGGACTGTAAGATAGACTAATGCACTGTTGGTTTAGTGGTCTCTGCATGGGACTTTTTGTCAATAAGAAACATATAGAATTCTGCCAGTGTTTTAAACAACCGATATCACATACATAACACCAATTTGAACCTCTTTGCTTTGCCTTTGGAGTGTTGCAATGATGATGTTTTTGTAGGGCAACCCGGAAGTTAGCATCACCCTGGTCCCCTCGATGAAAAGCCAATGGGATTTTTTCCACTAGATTTTGGATTACTGCAGAAAATAAGATGATGATTTTATGATTTTTGAAGCGTAAATGCAACCACCAGAAGTAAAAGGCTATAAACAAACTACGCCACGGTCACATGACTTTAATCTCACCACCACAACGAGGCTGTAAAGCCATGTTTGTTGTGATGATGTTCTGTGGTCTATGTATATTTAGCCACATGTTAGCAACTGCCTTTTGTAAGACACATAACAGCTTCAAAACATGCTGATAATATTAGTACGTCATCTGTATCGGCCAGTATTGGCTTTAAAATGAATTGGCCAACATGCTTTTTCTTATTTGGCACAATGAATGATTTTACATACATTGAAAAGAATTGTATTTCATGTCTTCACTGGCTGGTGGTGAAGTCTGAGGAAGAGCTGTGGGCTTGAAATGTCACTCTGCGTTAACATCCTTCTAAACAGCTGCTTGGTGTGCCGACCTGTTTGTTTTCTACTTTTCCGTCACAGTAAGAGTACGCATGCATCATATAATGTTATTTCCATTACAGAAGAGACCTGATGATCACTAAAATTAGGTGGGGAAAAAAGTGGATATATCAATATCAGTATCAGTTATGAGTTTTTATATATCGGCATATTAGATATAGGCAAAAAATCCAATATCATGCATCCCTAAATGTTATCTTGTAGGAATAAAAACATGTAGATAAGACTCCCACACACTGTCTAACTTGCAAACAAAAATGATTTTAATGCTGCAATGTTTCGGTGACTAGACCATCCCCAGGCAAACAGTGTCTTTTCTACAAGTTTTATTCTTCCCCTCCTACGCACATCTTTGGAAATAAATGTTTATCAGCACTCACTCCTGCAGCACTCTATCAATTTAGAGTCAATTTTAAGGATTTACTCACTGTTTTTAAAGCACTTAATGGTCAGGGTCAAGCATTAATTGTTGAGCTTTTGTACCCAGAATCAACCACAGACTAAATCCCCAAACTCAGAAACTGTGCGAGCAGTTTCCATGTCTAAACTGTTTAAACTAGAGGAGATTTGGAGCAGCCTCTCTGTTGAAATTTGTGCTGCAACCTCAGTAACGTCTTCTTCAGACTTGTTTTCATAAACTTGTATTTCTGCAGTAAGTTATTTTTCTTTGTCTTTTCATTAACTTCGATCATCTTCATAGATGAAACATATTTTTCTTTGTATTGCTTTGATCAGTGCTGCACAAATCGAAGGTTATTATCCAAGCATGTACGTTTAATTATTCATGCTTCCAGGGCAGCAAGAGGTTTCTGGATGACGCCGCTATGGACTTCATCCAACTCAATGTTCTGAGCTGAATTGAGCGCCTGCACATCGGGATGAACTTTGTCTCTATAAACACACACAAACACACTTGACACATGATGAGTGAAGAACCAACATACAGGCATGCGGAGACAAACATCCACCAAAAAGGCAGGAAAAGGAGTGTGAGAATCAAATGTCAAAACAAACAAACATGCACACAGAAATATAACTGACGTTAAGGTGCTCTGTAGTGACGTCCATCAGCTTGCTGCAGGACTGATGCAACCTCTCGTAGATGATTGTGTCTGCACCTTTACAGTAGAGCGAGAGCTTACCATCTGGACTCCGAACTGTAAACACAAACACACACACATGAATGAGAGCAAATATGTGTTCTAATTTTAAGACAAGAAAAAAGACGGTGACCTCGATTACTGGCTGGGGGGTACCACAGACCTCCAGTGACAGCAGTCTTTGTTCTATCACACTAAATAATCAGAGCATTGTGTACCTATGACCGACATCCTCTTGCGGACGTTGTTGAAATCCAGGATGGCGAGGAGCTCATAGCTGCGCTGCTGTCCCATCTCCACAATGGAAACGCTGTCCGGTGTTCGTGAGCGGAAGACGAATCCAAAGTTTCTGGCTGCTGTTACCAGCGCTCCTTCATCTGGAGACTGGGCCTGGTAGAAAAGTTCACCTACAGGAGCAGAAAGGTCATTGTTCCGTCAGTGCAGGAGGAGGAATCCTTCTTTAAGCTCTAGTTAAGTAAAGCGACAATAATTACACCTCCAGGTTTCAGCTGAGTTTGTAATTACTTGTCATAAAATGAGATCTGCATTTACAAGGTTGTTACACATTTACACATGCATGTCTTTGGACTGTGGGAGAAAGCCGGAGTACCCAGAGAAATCCACGCTGAGACGGGGAGATTCAAACCAGGAACCCTCGTGCTGTGAGCCTACAGTAAAACATAATAATTTGAATATGCAGGGTGCACACTAGGTCACCTGGTAGAGCAGGCGCCACATGTACAAAGGGTACATCCTTGCCACAGCAGCTGCAGGTTTGATTCAAACCCACGGCACATTGCTGCATGTCATCTCCCCCTCTCTCTCCCCAATTTACACTTTATCTCTCCTACCAAATAAAGGCAAAAAACACCTAAAAAAAAATTAATTTTCACGGCGTCTGTGCAGCCTTGTTTATTCAGTGTCCATGGAGACGAGAATGAACGCAGCCATAAAGGTTTTTCATACACAGAAAAGATCTGTTTACTTTCCTGATAACTACATCACTGCGTAACTCATAAATGTTCAGACAAGTGTAGTAACTGGTTATTAGTGATGCTTTGTATATCTGCAATTCAAAAATATATCAGTTATAAGTCACTTAAGGCAGAGCTGTTTGCAGGCAGTGACGTACAGGCGTAGAGGCAGCTCTGCGTAGGAATGCGTACTTCTTGTCTCGCTTTCAAGGACATCGAGCTTGCTCTTTCCCACAGTAATAAACATTTGGGCTAATCTGGGTGCCTGCTCCCAATGACATTAAAAGAAAACACTGCTTGTGTGATCGATTTATTTTTAGGATTTCTGATTTTTATATTTAGGAAATGTCCTTTTTCCACAGTCTTGTTTTTTCTTTCTTCCACCCAGCTGATTCTATAAAAGACAGCAGCTGTGTTTTACATGCTCACACAGAAAGCATTTCATCCCTCCTCACCTTCCTTCTTCTCCTCCGCCATGACGGTGTGGCAGAGGGCCAGCAGCCTGAAGAAGTCGTGGACCTCTGGGTTCTCCAGCTTGACCGCCTCCACCAGGGAGTGGTCGTGGAACATGAAGCGGGGGTCAGCCATCGGGTTGAAGGAGAAGTCCACTATCTGTGTATGCTGTGGAGAGAGTTAAAGTTAAATTAGTTTTAATCCAATGAAATCAAGCCTAATCTATGTGATGTGACCTCTGTGACAGGATAACTACTGGCAGCCACCAGGAGGGAAGGTGTGAGGAAAAGTACATCATGTAAAAAGACACTTAAATTGACCTAATTTGCCACTTAGCTATAAGGACGTGCCGAATTTACACCATTAAAGTCCAACTCACCTCTGTAATCTCTAGTCTTTGACCTGTGTAGTCATACACATCCCCTGAAAAGAAGAGAGAAAATATATAAAGCTCGTATCTACACTCCAACACATGAATGAACCAGTTACATAACAGACACAGAAGAAAACATGCCTTTGCAAATCTGAAAGAAACACATAGTGCAGGACCCCCACTGACACTTACGCTTTTCCTGATCCACATCAAACAACATGTTTTACACTCACACACATCTTTACTATCTCCCCATATGTATTTTTTGTATGTAAACTTTATACTGTGAATGTTTGCACATCTCCCACTACGTATTTTTTCATATTCCGACACTAAACTGTGAGTTATTCAACTTTAAAAACATGTTTCTCATATTTTTTTTCGTATTTTCTGTGGTGAATATTTCATTGTGTATTATGTCTCTTGACACTTTTATACTGTTGTGTATCAAATCACCAGGACAAAGTCCATGTATGTGCAAAGGAAAGGTTTCTTTTAATTATTTTACATTGTGAAAAAGGGATGTGTAACAAAGATATACATTATCAAATTGGACGACATTCCAGTACATCATTTTTAAGAAGGTTAGGAGACCAGACATTCTTTAGGGATCTATTAATTTATAAAAATGCGGCTGTGACTGTCGCACACATGGGATCCAGTTTGACCATAACTTTGTAAATCTGTTCAGTTGTAGGCGAAGTGAGAAGGTAATTTTTCTATTCTATATATTTCATTAACTATATCTGTCCTGTCCTCTATTGTCGAGTGGTCAGAAAGCAGCCAATGTCTTGTGATACTCTGATATCAAAACCCCGAATAAGTATTTGTTAAAGTGTCCAGGTTGAAAGTTGGCTTTTTGGGGCACTCCCAAAATATATGCCAGCAATTTGCATCCTGGCTCCTGCACAATCCCCAGCACTTGGGAGCCTCTCCTGCAGCATGTGGAGATTTTTCTTTTATTTCTACGATACATTTCTTCATTTATATTTTTTCTTTTATCAATTTTTCTTGTATTTTCTTGGTTGGTATGAGTGATTCTTGTGATTATCAGGCTCTTTCTCCATTTTTAATTTGCATTGTTCTTTTTCTACCTTCTGAAGACCACAGGCTACACTGGGTAATAAAAAAAGAAGTTTCCTTTAATGTCCCTGAGGGGCCTTATTTCTGTTTTATTGGTAAATTTGCTGTTTGTTTACAACTGGAAGAGCTAAACAACATGATCCTTTGATATTTGAAGAGCTCACTGATTAGGTGGCAAACACATAATAGCAGATTTTAAAAAAAAGTCTCTGCATGACCATGTATTTAGATGCACTGAGGTTCATGGAGCCAGAAACTTTATTTTAGGAAACAACGTTAGAGCTACAGGTAGACGTCTTGAATCTTACCGTAACATTTGCCGTTGATGGAGCACTTGTTGAAGGTCATGATATTCTGGGTGAGCGTTCCTGTTTTATCGCTGAAGACGTACTTGATCTGGCCGAGCTCCTCGTTCAGCGTGGTGGTGCGAGCCTCAGCGGGAGTGTTGTTCTGTGAGTAGTACATCTTCCTGTCCCAGTCGATGTAGAAACTGTTCCCCAGACGAATGATCTCCACACTGCCGAAAAATGTACAGTAGATACTGGGTCAGAGATGAAGCAGATATAATCTTTATGCATTTTGTTAAGTTACTTAAAACTTATTAAATAATTCTACACATGCTAGTACCTGACATAGAGAGAGATGGGCACCACGGTGTTGAGGATGATGACGTAGGACCAGAATGTGAGGAAGGCGGAGAAGCCTGCATTGTTGCCATCTTGTCTGGGCAGGAAGACCGTGAACTGTGAGCCTTCGTTCAGCTCCCAGACGTAGTTTCCAATCGCCAGGATGGTGCACATGAAGGCCAGAAAACCGAAAATCTGCATGGAAAGTTTTGGAAAGAGTTCAGAGGTCAAAGGGGGGTTTATCAAAAGGTACAATTCATAATCCAAATTCAAGGAAAAAAGTTGATGTCACTATCAAAGATTTAGAAGGCCAAGAATGGAACCTGTAATATGACAGGTCTTAAGACTGTCCTGAGATCAGATAAACAGGTGATTGATTTGACTACTCACACAAAGCACTAGCACATTCATCAGTCGGTCTACGCTGGTCCTCTTGAACATGCTCTTCCCACAGTTCTGCATCAGCTTCGTCTCTGGACCTGCACAAAAAGAGGAACAGAAACAAGTAAGGCGTCAAATGATCTCATATCTTCCTCCATTTAAAACCATCTTAGTGTGTGTTGAAGTGAAATAAGTGTCAACTGAGACACTCAAGTTTAGCTCTTTGTCTCTCTCTTCGTATGGTCACAAGGTTTCCCGTTACCACCAGTTCCCTATTAACATGTAGCCACGAAGAAACTCATTCCCCACCTCCAAACAGCACCAGTCCAAAGCACCACTCGGTGTTCCTCAGGGTGCAGCCTCGCAGCAGGATCTTCTCGTTGTCCAGTGGGTATTTCTGACCGGCGTAGGTTAGCGTTCCTGTGAAGCGGTCGAGACGGTTGTTGGGGGGTTCACAGCATACCTCGCCTGCAGGGACAGAGAGGTGATGGAAGAAAGGACAATTAAAGCTTGCATGCATTCAATCTACTGTATGTGTGACTACGGCATTTAGCCCAAAAGAAGTTTTTATTTGTCAAAAATGTGGACAAATGTCAGTGAAAACTGATGCCTACGTGTCTGTGACTCTCTGTGTTGACACCTATAGTACCACTTGGAGTTTACAAAGTCATTGGGCCCTATTTAAATGAGTTATAAACTTGACAGAGGAAACAGAACTAAACTTTAAGCCTCTGAAATAAGGAGTGAAGTTAAGCTGCTCCCTGTGTATAAATGAGCAGAGCGACTCCTAATGGGGAGTTGGACAATTGTGAAAGACGTCAGTTAGCAGCATCTCAGCTGCTTAGATGAAATCCATACAGTCACACCAGCTAGGGATGAGCAAGTACACCATTATCTGTATCTGCTCAACCAACTAAATTATCTGTATGGCTCTGGAGCAAAAGATAACAGGGGGAATGTCCGTCCCACGATTTGATCCAGTGGTGTCACTGATGATATATGGACTACAACAGGAGAATAATGAAAGCATACTGGAAAAGATTAATATGATGTTCTCCGAGGAGACGCGCCAGGTGTGATGAGAGTGGAATTGAAATCAACAGAGGAAAAAGTCGCGATTTTGAGACTGAAACAAAAACATGTAGCCATAATTAGAAAAGTCTAATTATGAAAAAATTGAAAGAATACTTCATGACGGGGAGCAGCCGGCTCATACGGAGAGATGATGCACCGGCGGACAGGAGGAGAGACTGGGAAAATCCACAAGGGAGATGAATGAAGAGTGAAGACCCTCGGATATAATATATATACAGTACAGGACAAAAGTTTGAACACACCTTCTCATTCAATGCGTTTTCTTTATTTTTATGACTATTTACATTGTAGATTCTCACTGAAGGCATCAAAACTATGAATGAACACATGTGGAGTTATGTACTTAACAAAAAAAGGTGAAATAACTGAAAACATGTTTTATATTCTAGTTTCTTCAAAATAGCCACCCTTTGCTCTGATTACTGCTTTGCACACTCTTGGCATTCTCTCCATGAGCTTCAAGAGGTAGTCACCTGAAATGGTTT